AGATATGGGCCGGACATGATTTACGAAAAAGTTTCTTCCAGTGACCTTGAACTTGCCAAAATGACCTTAGGTTAAGGCCATGGCACACCTTAGGCCATGATCAATTTTTGTAGGAAGACGTAAATTTTTAAGATTCATCAACAGATATACTGGGCAAAATAAGTTAGGGATCATATTATCATGATTATTACACAATGATAAAATTTTAATACCCATGAATTTATGTGGACCGGACCTGTTTGCACATGTAACCAGACAGCTTTACAGACAGACAGACAGCTAGACGGACAAGTTAAATCGTATATATACATCTCAAAACTTCGTTTAGTGGATAAAAAGATGAAAGAGAAAACATATGGCTTATAGAATTTTTTTCAGTTAAAAAGTTAACAAACGTACCTGGTAGTCCTTTCATACGGTCAATCAGTTTATAATTATATCGACTCCACAAAAAAGAGTATTTTGCATTTCTTTGAAGTCTACATACACAACTATATCTATGGATAAATATCATGAAAGGGCAATATCGGTATATAATATCAAACAAAAGTTGATGATGAATTTTTTTTACAATTTAAAAAAAATGAACTTAGATTTTAAATCTTGCTATATAAAATTTTCATATTCATGGAGAAAGAAATCTAAAAATAAATTATAAGAACACTTTTATTGTAAATCATATCCAAAGATATCCTCTAAATACTGGATATCCTCTTCCACTTAAATTATTTTTAAATTCTTCCTCTGTAACCCCCCCCCCCCCCCGCCTTTTTTTAAACATGTAAATGTAGACCTAATCTGTTATATTTTAGTAGACATATTTTTGTTAAAAAGTATGATTCCGAAATGACTATATAGTTGAAATGAAATTTCAGAAGTAATAACATTACAATTATTGAAATAAAATATAAAAATCAAAATAATCGGTAAATCAACTCGAGTTCTTTTTTTCCAATTTTTAATGTAAATACAGAGGCAATGCGATAAATTATTCACAAGTATTACATATGGAAGCTAAACATAGTTTCGAATAAAATCCAGGGGTTTTTTCCTATTAGAGAAGAATGACAAGACGGACTTTGCCTGCTATTTATAGGAAAGAAAAACATGTATTCAAAATATCGAGCCGATGTTTATTCGTATAGTATTATAATATAGGGTTAAAAACTAGTGGACCATATCTCGGAAACTAGAGATGGTACCATCACCGTTTCTTCATACAAGTGGTATCTGGCCCCTAGTACCCCACCCCCAAAATTTCAGACCCCAGGGTAGGGGACTTCGATGTCCCCGAGCCCGATGTTTATTCGTATAGTATTATAATATAGGGTTAAAAACTAGTGGACCATATCTCGGAAACTAGAGATGGTACCATCACCGTTTCTTCATACAAGTGGTATCTGGCCTCTAGTACCCCACCCCTAAAATTTCAGACCCCAGGGTAGGGGACTTCGATGTCCCCGTGCCCGATGTTTATTCGTATAGTATTATAATATAGGGTTAAAAACTAGTGGACCATATCTCGGAAACTAGAGATGGTACCATCACCGTTTCTTCATACAAGTGGTATCTGGCCCCTAGTACTCCACCCCCAAAATTTCAGACCCCAGGGTAGGGGACTTCGATGTCCCCGAGCCCGATGTTTATTCGTATAGTATTATAATATAGGGTTAAAAACTAGTGGACCATATCTCGGAAACTAGAGATGGTATCATCACCGTTTCTTCATACAAGTGGTATCTGGCCCCTAGTACCCCATCCCCAAAATTTCAGACCCCAGGGTAGGGGACTTCGATGTCCCCGAGCCCGATGTTTATTCGTATAGTATTATAATATAGGGTTAAAAACTAGTGGACCATATCTCGGAAACTAGAGATGGTACCATCACCGTTTTTTCATACAAGTGGTATCTGGCCCCTATTACCCCACCCCCAAAATTTCAGACCCCAGGGTAAGGGACTTCGATGTCCCCGAGCCCGATGTTTATTCGTATAGTATTATAAAATAGGGTTTAAAACTAGTTGACCATATCTCGGAAACTAGAGATGGTACCATCACCGTTTCTTCATACAAGTGGTATCTGGCCCCTAGTACCCCACCCCCAAAATTTCAGACCCCAGGGTAGGGGACTTCGATGTCCCCGAGCCCGATGTTTATTCGTATAGTATTATAATATAGGGTTAAAAACTAGTGGACCATATCTCGGAAACTAGAGATGGTACCATCACCGTTTCTTCATACAAGTGGTATCTGGCCCCTAGTACCCCACCCCCAAAATTTCAGACCCCAGGGTAGGGGACTTCGATGTCCCCGAGCCCGATGTTTATTCGTATAGTATTATAATATAGGACTAAAAACTAGTGGACCATATCTCAAAAACTAGATATGGTACCATCACCGTTTTTTCATACAAGTGGTATCTGGCCCCTAGTCTAGTACCCCACCCCCAAAATTTCAGACCCCAGGGAAGGGGACTTCGATGTCCCAGAGCCCGATGTTTATTCGTATAGTATTATAATATAGGGTTAAAAACTAGTGGACCATATCTCGGAAACTAGAGATGGTACCATCAGCATTTTTTCATAGAAGTGGTATCTGGCCCCTAGTACCCCACCCCCAAAATTTTTGTCCAGTCTTCTAATGTTTATATTTTCAATTGCGAACTGCGTTCTAGAACGCAGTTCACTTTTGAATTGCGAATTGCGAACTGCGTTCCAAAATCTGATTGCCTCGTCGTCGCATTCGTTACACCTGACGGCTTTATTGTCACGGGTATCGGCGTGGAATGGCGACCCGTGTTCGTGCTGGTTATCTTGCAATACTTTTGTTTTCATTTCATGGCAGATACATTTATATCTCTGTGTTGTTTGTATACTGCACTGATTTATACAACTATAATTGTAAACTTATTTGGTATCTTATTTTCCTGCCTTAGACGAAGTATTACGTTACCATTCTTGATACCGAGTTCTGTATAGCATACGCCCGTCTTTTCCAGTGTCGACTGATTACACTGAACAATGACTAAGTTCTGCCCTATTTATAGGGGCCTGCAGAGTAGCCAGACTCGTGAACAAAAATGGCGGACAGATTCTTTTTATGAATCGTGTTCAGCTTTAAGCCGATGGTCGGGCGACAAAATTTTTCTGGTTTTGTCGGCTAAAAACATGATCAGTCGACACGAGTATCGGGCGACACGGCTAGGAACACCGATGACTTTGATAAATTACACAAGAAAATCTTTGTTTCTTAAGAAATCAGCAATATTTTTCATAGATCTATATTCAGATAGGTGAAGTGAGTAATGTTTACAAGGCGAGGTGGCAGAATTTTGTAAGATTGTAGCTCAATGTTGAAAATGTGTGCAAAATTTTGTATAGAATTACATGAAAAATACGAGAAATGGTGTTTATATATAAGCAGCAAAGAATAATGAGGATTTCTTACTGTAATTTGCATTAAAAAAATATGCGTCAATCCATGCATCAACATCTTGTTTGTGTTATGTATCCTTAAAGGTAAAATATTCACAAGTCGGCCAATCATCGCCCGATCATCGAGCTCTGAGCTACAGTTTGATTTTAACCGTAATCCGAAATTTTTGACACCTTTATTGTCAAACGACGGACGACCGACTTAATAAACTTCGGACGATGATCGAAGGTTGGTCGACAGATAAATTTAATAGAAGAAATCGGCCGCCGACGCAGAAAAATTATAACTTAATTGTTTTGAACATATTTTATTGTATAAACAAAAGGATTGGAAACAAGTTCTTTCAACTTACGAGTTCCTCTCCTTAAATATAACTATATGTCATGCAATTAAAATACATGTAGTACATTGAGATATATATACAAAAGAGATACAAGTGAGATATTTGTTCAGAAATATAACAATTTAAAATCTACAAGATTTGTCAATAAATTTATGCACAGCAGCAAAAATATATGTGTTTGTTTCTACAGGCAAATTAACATCACCACATAATAACAAATTTGTGTCAATGTTGACCAATTCGTCAAGTAAAAATAGGCGATTAAAAAGATTATTCCTAGCGTTTGGATAATTTCTGCAGGCAAAAAAGAAATGATAAACATCTTCATACTTTCCACATGAACATAAAGGGCTATTAATAATATTTCTTTTGTGTAAATCATAATTAAGTATACATTTGTGTCTGAGTTTAGTATGGATTATATTTGTATAACGCTTGCCAAATGAAAAATAGATTGGGGGATTTTTTTTTACTTCTGTAGTTAAGTTTTTTCGAAACGCATTGATTGAGATGGCTTCCCTTATTTCTGTCTTTAATAAATTCCACTGTTTCACAGCGTCAGGAATAAAAGATCTTTTATATAATTCTAATCTGCATCTTGGGGCAGCGTATTGTTCCTTATTACGGGTATTATATTTTGAAATGTTTTCGCGCTTGTTTGGAACAATGTCATTCAAATATTCAGGTACTCTACCATTATGAATTTTGTACATCGTGGTCATTTTTGCATTATAGCGCCTAACTTTCAATGTTTCCCAGCCAGTTTCAGAGTAAAGTATTTCTTGATTTCTTAATTTCTTAAGTATAACTTAATTAGACCAATGGACACAAAATTGGTCGGCCGACAAAAAAAGAGGGGAAGATGAACTGCCGACTGTCATCTGAAGATTCCATTTTTGCTTCAAAAGCCGTCGGCCGTTAGTAGTTTTTTGAAATGTGACTGGGGTTTTACAGATTACGGGATCGGAAAGAATAACTCCGCGACTATATAGAGCTCATTCTTATACTAAACATGTTAGACCTCCGGTGTACTCTCACTACAAAAACAACAAACATTGGCTTGTATAAACACTGGAAAATATTTCAAGTTACAGTATTTTAATATAAAACGTCAGATTATTTGAAATTTTCCTTTTTAGGTGAAAACAAGATGTCAAATACGACTGAGGTTTCGGATGACGGAGAGGCTCTAAACGAAGATGATTTTGAATACAAAGCTGTTGTGATGCTAATCATTTTCTCCGTCATCGGAGTTGCCGGTAACGCCCTTGTTTTATATGGTTTTTCTATGTTAAAACCAAAAAAGACTTCAACGATATTCATATTGACTTTGGCGGGGATCGATTTTACCTCCTGCCTGGTTACAATTCCTGCCACGGCTGCTATGGAGATGGTTGTTTTTAGGGTGCCTTACGACCCTTTGTGTAAAGCCTATTATTTTCTGGTTACTTCAACTATACCCTTTTCGGTGTTTGTGATGGTAGCAATTGCTGTGGATCGTTATTACTGCATATGTAAGCCTTTCATCCAGATTATGACGAAGTTTAGAGCCAAAGTTATAGTATTTTCTCTAAGCATTCTAGCCATTATTATTGGTTTCGTAAATTGCTTAAATTTTGGTTTGATTGAACGAATGGACAGATTTCATACAAATCTGACACTTGAAATACAAGCTTATGTAGAATTGCTTTCACCAGATCACCCCGCAGTGCTTGCGCTTCAAGAACAATATTTGCAAAATAAGGTTATTTTGTGCGGAAACCCCCGGATGTTAGGAGAAACATTTTACACAGTGAATAATACAATATACGCATCAATTTACGCGACGTGCGGCATTGTGGTAATCATCCTGTATGTTGTTATTTACCACTTCATCCTTACTCGCAGACAACGACGAATTAGAACCAAATTTTTCCCCTGTTGCACATTCAGTAAAACACAACTTGGTGAAAGTGAAAATACTGATTTTATTTGCGTTAGTCAGGAAATGCAGAACAAGTGTGTGACCGAGGAAACAACTGAAAAGGATGCCAATTTGAACAGTCCCATGTTAAAACCAAATAACGAAGGTTCGCAGGCTACAACGCCCAGTAATGAAACCCCACCCAAGTCAAGAGCAAAGAAGAAGAAAAATCACGGGAAATCGGATGCGACATCTACTTTTCGACTAAAACAAGAGCGTCTCCGTGTAAATAACATCAAGACAGCTCTGATGCTGTCTGTTGTTGCTCTGGTATTCATTGCGGCGTTTCTACCAGCTTGGCTAATGAAGCTAATGGTTGTACCGTTTAACACGACTTTGTTCTACATGTACTTTATTTATAACGTAGCAAATCCGTTTATCTACGCTTTTATGAACCCTGATTTTCGTCAGAAAATGGCTATTACTGGTACAAGAATTAAAAATCAGTTTAAAAAGTGATTTCACAACAATGGTGCTCAAGATGTGTATCGCTTCAAAATTAGCCATCGCACACTCAGTATGTTTTTAATAGAACGATTTTTTTTCTTTGTCTTAACAATTTTCATGTATAATGCGTTAAAGTACTAGTTTAAATGAACGATGTGGTTGACAAATATATTTATACACGAAAGTAACCATTTATCTTTTTTTTTTTACTACATTTATAAATTGCAAATGTTTTATAGAAACGATATAGCATTCAGGACTGCATCGTCGCAATCCACGGCCAAAATGCACGCTCCTCTCCCATTCTGGAGAGAGTTATCTGTTGTATCCGGACCGTGGCTTGAGACGAGGTCAGGAGTGTTACTTTCCTGGTATTCTTCAGATAACTTTTTTTGTAATGATCATATACCTGTTTTATACGGAAGCATACTAGGGCCGCAGCAGTATTTTTTTTTAATTAGTTATAACAAATTATTAATTCGATATAACAAATTATTAATTTGTTATAACAAATTGATAATTTGTTATAACAAATTATTAATTTGTTATAACAAATTAACAATTTGTTATAACAAATTAATAATTTGTAAAAACAAATTGATAAATTACGGATAGACAGACAGACACACAAGGGTAAAACAGTATACCCCCTTTCTTCTGAGCGGGGGTATAACGAATTTTGGGACGTGTTTGATTGACACACCATTGCCAGTGGCGGATTTAAGGGGGGGGGTCGCACCCGCCCCCCCCCCCACTAAAATTGTCAACGTTGACGTGAATCACAGTTTCGTATAGAACATGTAAATATGTCTACTTGGTAGACCTCATTTTAACCTACAAAATCTCTAGAACCCAGGAGCTTCCTGGGGCTTCGCCCCCCTGGGCCCCCATCAGGGCTTTGCCCTGGACCCACTGGGGGCCTCTAGACGGCCCCCATGCCCCTTGCCTACTTTTGGCGCCCCCTCTAACTTCAATACTTGATATCGCGATTACTTAACTTAGCGGAACTCTTTCGCGAATGAGGTAGGAATCGTCTGTTGGGTGGGGGCAATGTGCTTTTCAATACAATGCAAGATCGATCATTGTAGCATTTATAAGGACAGATAAGTAAAAAATCCTGGTGGAATACTTCGCTAAACAATCGTTGAACCAGCCTAATATATTTTTGAGAGAAGCCAATCCTTAATTGTCACATTTTTTAACGATATTTTTAATTAAGCGGACTCTTTTCGTTAAATTTTGATTGAAAATCGTCACATTTTTAAGCAGATAAAATATTCTAAACTTTCCTTATTTGACAATCTACTATATGGAGCTCAATATCTGGCAAAACATCGTGATTTCGGCATTAAATTGTTCGAATCATTCGATTGTCACTACTGTAAACAATGTCATTTGCCCCCAGAAATGTAGACTTTTCTCGACTCCTCCGCAAAAGAGCGGTAGTAAGTTAGATAACTGCGAGGTACTCATTGGTAGTCGCGATATAACGTATTCCTGGATCCGCGCCTGATTGCACGTTCACAAACTTAAACTCCGGTCGTAATAGTTAAGAAAAAGTAAGATTTTTTGCTTTATAGTATTAAAAAATATTATTTTTTTAAAATTATATTTCCTTGTGCTATAGCAACATACGTATAAGTCAGGAACTGATGATCCGCGCCTGTCAACTCGACATGACACCACTCTTCGGATCAAGTTACTGCAATATTATGATACACATGTATATTAAATTATAATCTGTATATATTAACTCAATTTGGGCAAATATACATCCTGAGACTGTTCGTATTTGACCGATCAGCAAGGGATGCTTACTCCTCCACGGCACCTGATCCCAACTCTGATGTTTCAGAGGTCCGTGTTTGCTCTGCTCCTTTTTTGTATTGTTTTGTGGACTTTGATATTGAATACTGTTCGTTATCTCCATATCATTCTTTGCTTTAAATTATGGAGTGCACAAGCTGCCAATACCATAGCCTCAGCCTTTTCTTTGTCCAATGCAATAAGTGTCTGAAAAACTGCAAAAATGTCATCGTCGGAACCCAAAGTTAGGCAGGATGCCAAACACGTTTTCTTCTCCACGTCTCGCCGTAGAGAGTTTGTTGTTAGATTTGCCATTATAAAAATATTCCTAGATTCTCATCCCCGCCCGCCCCGATTTTATACCCCCACCTCAATTTTTTTTTTATTTCTGTTTTTCTTCGTCTTAATTCTGATCGGGATCGGTATTCATTTACCATTCTACTTTCGTTTTTAATCCCGCGAAAGTTGACATGATTTCGACAGCTGAAAAGATGGTACAGTGTAATATTGCTGTAATACATGCGTATATATTTTAAACAAGGGTCATTGGTTGAAAAAGATTGGTGATGATGTAAAGTAAGAGATAATTGAACCTTTACTATGACTTTTATTGGCTAATTGTATTCGGCGCGTCGGCGCGCTCTCGCAACAGATTTTGTAAATAAAATTTATCGCTTATACAATATTTGTCAGCATCGGGCTCGATATTTCACTCGATATTTCTATACTTATCAAAGAACTGAAAGTACCGATAGGAGTTGATTTTGACGATTTCCATAAAATTTAATGTTTGATACTTTGTTCACAACTTTTTCAAATTATGTTCATTTATGCTCCATAAGAAAGATGTGAGGATTAAATGAAAAAAGATTCTACAGAGTCAAAAAGGTAAGGTTGTTTTGATCACCATAACCTTAGAATGATATGCCAAAAAAGTAAGACTTTTCCTCTGTTCTATTATTTTCAATAAATTTCAAAGTATTTTTCTGACCTAAAGTTTGTTTAAAAGGGCTATTAATAGCAAAAACAGTTCTGTAACTAAAGTTACTCCCCATCCTCTAATAAAGACAAGTTAATCTTTTAGTAGTATTATTTTTAAAAGTAACAAGGCATCTTGTTCAAACACTTATACCAATGTATGGTAGCTTATTGCCATGAAAATCAAGACAATTAGCCTTTATAAGGAGGTTAAACTCTAGAGTATAGGGTCATAATGTAATACTGGTAAATTTAATTTGTTACATTGGCGTCGGAAGCAAATTGAAAGGGGGGGGGGGGGTGGCTAAGTGAAAGAAAAAAAAAATTTCGAACCTGAAAAAATCTTAGCAAGCACCCCCCCCTCCCCCCCCCAAAAAAAACGTAAAATGTGTCTGTTGTCCAAAAAAGAAAATCCTATTTCGTGAGGGGTGAGGGGGGCGAACTTCTTTCAGTACCAATTTTTTTTTCTTTCAAACATTGCCACTTACACTACCACTTACCCTTCTTCTAGGACTACACTTCCTTGCCTGATGAGAGTTGGGGGAGGGGGACTAAATGAACCTACGCCCCAATGTTGAATACCTATATGATGTCCATCTTTATAAGCCCCCCCTCCACCGATTCCAATGCCTATGTGTTATGCATAAAGTTGATTTATAAAACCAAAAGCACTAAATGTTTTTTAATGCTATAGTTAAAGTTTGGAGATATAACTATTAATATATAATATGTATGTAGAGAGAGAGAAAAACGAGAGAATAGGTCAACTAAAGAAATGCAGTAAATTTCGGATTACACTTGCTCAAATCGTGGTTAGACATGCATGGATCAAAGGGGATCCGGATCCCTGGAAAATTCTATTTTTTTTTAAATTGACATAGTAAAAATACTAAAGCTAAGTCTCAAATCCTTTTCCCCTTCCGATTTGAGCCACCACCTCCTAAAGAAAATTTTCTGGATCCACCTAACCAAAAAATATAATCGGGCTCGGGATGTCGACTTGAATGTATCCGATAAAGCTTAAATTATAAATAAAATCGCTGTCATTTGAGTGTTTTAATGCAGGGAGAAAATACTTGTGTGATATTGGGATGAGATGGACGCGCTGGCGCGCCGACGCGCCGAATACAATTAGCCCTTTTATTCGGGTATTGTAGATAAAATTACACCAATTGACCCACTCTCTACAATCGGCTCATACATTCACTGATAGAGAAACGAACGACAACTCTGCATGGGAGGTTGCGATTGACTAAAATTGAAAAAATAAAAAATATTAACAGGTCCAGCACAATACCCTGATTAAGGTTTATAGCTTGATAAATTATAAGGTATCAAGGTATTTCATATAATGAAAATTATAAAAAATCTTTAAAAAATTAAATACTGTGTAGGGGAAAAATAACTCGCGCTGTTAATATTCGCTATATTCACGGTGTTAATAAATCCGTGAATTCAAGAAATAGTGAATAAATTTTTAATAATCTCCATGTTTTATTTGGAAATTTGAGAATAGACTACGATAGGTTGACTGCGACAAGTTGATATACAAGAACATGCAGTGCATGGTCGTTTCAGTAATTACGAGTAGTACTCGTCATTCAATTATTTTAATTATCACGGTTTTCTTTAATTCCAATCGGCAGATAATAATTTGTGTTTGTTCAAAAGCTGTTTTAATGGACAACGCTACATGTTTCATCAATCAAAACACTTGGGCCATGGGTTTTGATTACCCGTGCCTAACTAATTTTACCACGTGTATTTGTTACCTGCATTATCATGCATATTAGTTTTAACAACATTTTGGTTTTAAAAAATCATTCAAATAAATATCGAACTTACTGAAGATGTGGAAGATATTATTTCGGCGAACTACATAAACACATTTACTTCCATCCAGTGGTATTTCGTCGCATTGTTTTGAAAATCTTGGGTGCACATGCACTCATCGTAATTTAGCATGTAGGAAAGTCATTTGACGTTTAGAGTGTAGGGCTTTTAATAACTGCACTTTTTAAAATTAATTATTAATTAAATCTATCAATTTTATTTAAACCTACCCTGTTGTTCGTGAAATAAAAATAACGCTGAAGAATGTGGTTTACATGTAGCAATGGTATGGATTAAAAGAATATGGACAAGGGAGGCAACTTTTATTATATACAAATTCCGCGAATTCAAGAAACTGCGATCGTGTCAGATGAGAGAAAAACGTGAAAATTACAACCCGTGAAATTAATCCCGTATACAGTACTGAAAGTCGAGTTCTGAGTTGTTGTCAGTAAACTCACCAATCTGATTAAAATCAGGTCTTTGT